AGGTTCAGATCAAGGAAATGACTCACAGTCATAGAGGTGGTCAGTCCCAAGTTCCAAGTGTGGACACTTCTGACTCATGTTGCTGCAGGGTTGATGAACTAACATCAGCAGGTCAGACAGCAGGCAGGCAGGCAGGCAGGCAGGCAGGCAGGCAGGCAGGCAGATTTGGTAAGTAAGTAAAGTAGGCTGTTGATGACTCCAAGGATTTGCCGGTAATAGAGCAGTCCACTGGCTCATATACAAAGAAGCAGAGGTCAGAAGTTGAGCCAGACACAAGACTCTGACCCAGCAGAGAGTAAGCAAGCCTTGCCTTAATGCCCAATATATTGGAAGCAGGCCACACCCTTGAGAAAGCTCTCTTTCAGTTGATTGGCTGCTCATAGCAGACCTCATCATAGAGTTGATTACGTTATATTAAATCTCATCATAGGAGATAACTCCATCTCAATTGACAAACCACTGAGAATCCTGGTGCAGCCAAGTTGACACTCAAATTTCATACAAAATATAAGCACTACTCAGAAAGTTCCAATATGAAAATCCTTGACAAAACTATGATAATTTCAAGGTACAAATAGAACTGTTAAGTTATGGTGTTAATACAAAATCACAGGCAGTAAGGTCCTATTATAAGGAGCTCTGGTAGCGTAGTGGCTACGAATCGGGCTGCGAACCTTAAGGTCCCCGGTTCGAAGTACCAGTACTCTGCGGGAGGAAGATGAGGCTTTCTACTCACGTAAAGATTTACACCCTTGGAAATCCTGTACAGGGTCGCTATGGGTCGGAACCGACTCGACAGCACTTAACAACAACAACAACAAGGTCCTATTATAAGTGATGTTGAAGTGAGTAATTCTTATCAGGTACATTTAGCTAACTCATGTTCAAGTCTATTATGAGTTGCTGATTATACACACACACACACACACACACACACACACACACACACACACATATATATATATAGAGAGAGAGAGAGAGAGAGTGGCTCTAATGAATAGGTTTTAGTGTTTAAATTTTAAGTATGGGCTTTTGTAAACTAATATAGATATGGGATTACAAATCTAATTTATACATATTTATTCTACTCTTTGGAGTCTTGGTGTGTCACTGTAAGATAAACTCAGGACTGAAAATAACAAGGTCAGTGGTTCAAACCTACTAGCTGCTCCTTTGAAATCATATACAGGGCTGCTATGAGTTGAAACCAATCAACAGCACTTAACAAAAAGTCTACTACTATTCATGTCACTTTGGTGACAATTTTATAATGAAATTAAAGAAATTTGATTTTGAAATAGCAAAATTAAAATTTCCTTAAAGAATAAACCAATTTGTATTGCCAAGTGAATTTTCTTTACATAGCTAATTGATGATCTGTCAGGGCAAATTTATATAATTTAATCTGTTGTCAATAGAAATAATATTCTGTGTGGGCTAGTTGGTAGAATATTGGACTTGAAAATAGGAAACTATGGAGCTTTCATTCCAAGTTCCTTTATCTTTATTTATTGACAACTAGTTATTATCAATACTCTGTCCAACATTATCTTTTAAAGAGCACCTTATATAAAAAACAATAAAATTAGAATTCTCCTACCTCAGCCACCTCAAATAAGTAAAAAGATAGATTTGGTGGGAATGTTCTATCTTTTCTTTTCTATATCAAGAATGTTCTGGTTGTTGTTGTTATGTGCCATTGAGTTGGTTCTGACTCAGCAAACTTGTATAGGGTTTCCAAGGAGCAACTGGTGAGTTTGAACTGCCAGCCTTAATAGAACTTACAAAATAATGCAGTGCCCTACATGTATGTTTGGAGCAGGGAAAAAGGAGAGTAATTTTTGAAGAATTAGACATTATCTTCTGTTTAGTAATTTTGAGTTTATCGAAATCTCTTTGTGTTATTAAAAGTATTATCCTAAACGAAGTTTCAGCTTCTTTTATCCTAATTTTTAGACTAATAAAGACTCTAGATAGCAGAATTTAAAACTGGTTCCATATTTGTTTTCTATCTTAAATTATAGTTTATAAGTATCAGGGATTTCAAAAAGTTTGAGGAAAAATTCCATTATCTTTTTATTTCATTTTTCATGAGCCTCTTGGAGCTCCTTTGTATATCTGACCTATATAAAGTGAAGATTTATATATAATTTGATGGGCTTGTGTTTAACACAATAAGATTTAGTAAGAATTAAGAGATATATTACCTGCACCTATAAAATTAAATATGTTTTATTTTCCTATTTTAGGGCCCTAAATATGAAGAACTACAAGACTGCTTCAGTACAATCCTATTAACAGCTGGAAGACAAAGATAAACAACTTTCTATACCTGCATACCAGTAATTTATTATAAAGTGCTAATTATTAAAAATTTTAAGAGAACATGTAGAAAAATAGCTTGATCATTTAAAAACAAATTTAAGCATGTAATTCTAAACTCTTATTTTAGTATTACCACTCAATAGTACTTGCTAATAATTTAACATATCTTTACTGATATATGGTCACCATTAGCCAGAATCATCTCCATAGGAACTGGTTTAATTGGTTTTCTAAGCAGAATATATTATTAAGACATTTTGTGAAATTTTGATAAATCAGTCTATCATTTGAAAACATTATTAGTTCTAATGTTAAAAAAAATTGCAGAATTGAAGGATAGGAGTGGAGGTGGGAGCTAGAGGAATAGAAAATGCACAGTGAATTTGTAACTTGCTACACCTTGTTGAAAGTTTTTGAAAATTGTGTTGCTAACTGGCCAAGTGGGTTGGCTATTACAGCATTTGCAACACTGAAGATACTTATTGGATCCTTGCAATTGCCTAGAATTATATACACATGCATTATATAGGTAAATATTTCAACTTATATGGCACCATGCCTTCTATTTATGGCCTATGTAAAGCATCAGATCATTATAGCCATTGGTAGCCAAAGGTGAGTTGGGGTGAAGAGGGAATACATTTGTTAGAATTATAAAGCTGCAAGATGGGTAATGTTTATGGTGTATTCTAATGCTGCTTTCTAGCTGTTGTCAAAAGCTGCTTCTGTTGGACCATTCCAACTTACAGTTCCCAAATGACCTCTTCTACTTCACTGTAGAGTTGCAGGAGAAAACACTGGACCATAACCTCTTTTTAAAAAGTATCTGTTCTTAGAAGGTATGTTGTTGAGGTTAAGTGCTGTGATTCCAACTCATAGAGATCCTGTATAGGGTTTCTGAGGCGTGGCTGATGAGTTTGAACTACCGGCCTTGTGGTTCAAACAGACCTTGTGGTCCTGTGCTTATCTTATTGAATTTTAGGTATGTTTTATTTTATTCTCCTGGTCTTTAAAGACTTAATATCTTTAGATGTTGTCTTAGGCTGGGTTCTTTGGAGAAACAAGACCAGTACTCACACACACACATATATATGTATATATATCCATATAAAGGAAAAATTCTATTAAGGAAATGGCTCATGACTGTAGATATAGGAAAGTCTCAAGTGCAGGCCAGGCGAACTAGATCAGTGGGTAGCTCTGGAAGGTAGGAATCCTAGGTCGGAACATAAAGCAGGACCTTGGGCTGGAGCAGGGGTGACTTTCAACCAAAGACTGGGAGACAGGCCCGCTGCAGAACTGGAGGCATGGAGCACGTTAGCAGAGTAGACAGGAACAGGCATGCAGAGCCCTCCATTGGGCAGGTCAACAGATGAAGTATGATAATAGAGCAAGTCACTGGCTCAGACTAAAAGAATAGGAAGTTAGAGGACGACCCAGATGCAAGATGCAGACCCCGCTGGAGAGAGTTGTTGTTGTTAGGTGCCATAGAGTCAGTACTGACCTATAGCGACCCTATGCACAAAAGAAACACTGCCTGGTCCTGGGCCAACCTCACAATTGTTGCCACACTTGAGCCCATTTCACTGGGGGTCTTCCTCTTTTTTTCTGACCCTCCACCCTAGCTAACCTCCAGTGACTGGTCCCTCCTGATAATATGTCCAACGTATGAGAGATGAAGTTTGGTCATCCTGGCCTCCAAGGACCACTCTGGCTGCACTTCTTCCAACACAGATCTGTTTGTTCTTTTGACAGCCCAAGGCACTTTAAATATTCTCCCCCAACACCATAACTCAAAAGCATCACTTCTTCTACGGTCTTCCTTTTTCACTGTCCAGCTTCGTGTGCATATGAGGTTATTGAAAATACCATGGCTTGGGTCAAGCCCATCTTAGTCCTCAAGCTGACATCTTTGCTCTTCAACACTTTTATTTTGCCAAAATAATAACCCTATGCGAAGTTGTTGTGTCTTTGCATCGTAAATGCTAATCGTAGATCCTTCTGTCAGGATGCCCGCAGCACGTAGCTCCTCCTCTGGGCCTGGGTCCTGAAAGGAGGCTCTGTAAATCTCGGCAGTTTTAATAATGACAACGATGCCATAAATGATTGGAAAATGGTTTTCATTTTCTTCTCAGTCATTTGATTTGGTCACACACAGCGTTACTAAGTGAACGTCATCTTTCTGTCGGTCAAATTCACTGAGAAGTTGGTGAGTGAGTTTCTGTGACAGCTGCCTGTCTTCACTGAAGCTGCCCACAAGGTGCACTTCCAGCCTTCCACACTGAGTGTGATCGCAAAAGGACTTTTTGGCGTTCATGATCAAGGGGACCTCGGCTTTGGTGTCGGTACCATCACAATGTGTCAAGCAGGTAGCCCCATTACCTGTGTGCCTCAGGACCACAATATGACAAGTGGTAGCATCATCAGAATCCAGAACGGAGATGGAGCCATCCTTTGGGGAGGTCACTGCACGCTCTCTTTGCTGAACATACAGCAGGCCCTGGGTCCCATTTGTTGAACACACTGACCTCTGAGAAGTCTGGCTCTTTCCTCCAGAGTTGGGTGAGCTCGGACAAGGTCCTCCGCAGATTGCGGCAGCCGTACTCGCCGCCCCTCCAAAAACAGCAGCATCACGGTGGCAGCGGCCCAGGAGGCGGTGGCCTCCCCAGTCCCGGGGCTGATGGCTGCCTCTGCTCTTCAACACTTTTAAAGAGGTCTTGTGCAGCAGATTTGCCTAATGCAATACGTC